ATTATTAGCTGAAAATGCTGTGGAGGGGTGGAGGGTTAAAATATACGGAGTATAAAATAAAAATGAAAAATGGGGATTGGAACCGGTGGGTGAACTAGAATCGGTCCAGAATTGGAAATACAGATTTTGTTTTATCCCTACTGCAGCCTCTCTAATCTTACCAAGGCATGAACACTTTGGAGGATAACCATGACTATAAGTGTCACGGTATATAATGTCAACAAGTTCTCTCCAATCTTACCTAGGCATGGACCCGTACCGGGCAGGGCTTTGGGCCGGTCCAAACTGGGCTTTTTGTTTGTGGGTTAAGGCCCGAAACTGGCCTGGGGTTCTACCGGGGCCGGGCCGGGTTCAAAGTTTTTTTTAGCTTTTCTAATTAATTCCTACACCCCCACCCCCAAATCCCACCAAAACACCCAGCCCTACCCGCCTACAACCAAAACACTTCGAAAAAAAAATTGGCGGTGTAGGAATTGGCCGGGCCGGTTCCAAGAGGGGCTGAGCTCGTGACCCGCCCCAAAACCCCTCCGGTCCGGGCTCAGGCCCGGTCCCGGTTCACCGGGCCGGGCCGACGCCGCACAGTGGCGGTCCGGGCTGGTTCCCGAGCCCGGCCGACCGGTACGGGTCCAAACCTAATCTTACCAAGGCATGAACACTTTGCAGGATAACCATGACTATAAGTGTCACTGTATATAATTTCAACAAGTTATGTATTGAGTCATTCAGGATTCTTTATTGAATCATGTTATAAATTTATAATCATTAAAATCATTTTAATGACAATAGGATTCTTTTTTTTGACAATAGGATTCTTTAGGAAGACAGATATTTGATTGCATGCTCTTCAAGAAGACAGTTATTTGGTTGTAATTTAGCACTAAAAGTGTTTGCATTTAAATTAGTTAGTAATATACATACTTTTGTATTAAGAGACTTAGACAAAAGCCTCTTTAACATTCGACGTTCTTAATAGGCAAACAGTCACATCATCAAACTATATCCTCTACTGTCAAAGGCGGATCTATTGTTAGGACAGAGGGGCTGTTGCCCCCACTCAACCTCCAAACAATCCCTATATATGTGTGTGTGCATGTGTATGTGTGTATGTGTGTGTAGAGAGAGAAATCTTCAAGTTCAGCCGACCTAATGGGAACCACCGTCCGACCAAGCCCGTTTGAGGCCTTTTCCGGTGGAATTTTTTGATGATTTTTTTAGCACGTTCTTCATCAAGTCTAGTTTACCCATACAAAGTTTTACCTAAACATTCAACCGGGAAGACAATCAAATGATTTTCTAAAAAATAGTGCGCTGTTTATATATATATATATATATATATATATATATATATATATATATATATATATATATATATATATATATATATATATATATATATATATATATATATATAGGGAGCGGTTCTAATGAGAACAACTCTTATTGTGAGAAATGAGAACATATCCTAATCGTTAATCTTAATTAATAAACGGATGGATGATCTCACGTGCACCTAAATGTGGTGTGGATAAGCATAGAATATAATATCTATCTCCAAAGAAATTAAGTACGTAGGTTGTCTAGGGGCAAAGATGTCATAGTGAACATGAGCATTTATGATGAATTAGTGGGTTACGTATCTTCACTTCCCCAAAATAAGATAATTCATTGCACAATTAAAATTGGTTACCAAATAAAGTTGTAGCTTAAAATCATGAAATTGAAATTGACATATATATAATATACGAATTATTCAAGAACTCATACAGTTATATATACAGACATACAATGAACATGAATCATTAACAAATGCACAATACATATATAAAGCATCGAACTATGTATGTTAAGCATAAATATTAATATCTTAGGCACAATTCAATTAGGAACTAATTAATATTATTTAACACATAAGGACTTCATGCCTATGCAACTTAAGCTGGTATTTAACACACAAGAATGGATTTCTAATGCATAATACGTACATGTGGTACAATAAGTATGTACCGCATAAAAATCAGTATCTAACACACAACCATCAATGTTTAATGCACATGGATCGACGTCTTACTCTTAGTCAGGATATAACACACAATAACTGGTATTTGATGCATAAATGTATGGAAAATACATCACAATTTAATGCATGATTTAATCACGCTAATTTGATGCACTAAATATGTACCTTATTGAAGTACACAATAATTGATATCTAATTTACAATGTCGTGGTAATTATCTTAAGCACAAGAATCAGTATCTGACGCACAATGATTGAAAACTAACTAAATCTAATTCATAAGAAATTCACACAACTTAAACACGTATTAACACACAAGAATCGTTATCTAATACACAATAATCAATATTTAATGCACATGAACAAACATCTTACTCTTCATTAGCATACAACACACTAAAATTGGTATTTGAAGCACAAGAAACGAATATAAAATAAATCACAAGTTCATGCATGAGTTGTAAATACATAATGCATAATACATAATATCTAACGCACAAAAATTGAAAGATGTTGAAAATATTAAAAATATGACGAATATTAGTAATATAGTGCACAAGGAAAATGTATTAAAAAATATATGATGAATACCAGTAATAATATTAATAAGGTATGTGAAAATAAATTATCATATATATAAATGAAAACGGTTCTTGAAAAATATACTAAAGTATGTGAGAGGATATTGAATTTACTCTTTCATTTCCTAAATTGGACCACACATATTAATTGCAACGTGGGTTACAAAAAGCACATAAAATGTATGATACTAAAATACCCTTAGCTTCTCATCGGATCATCTCTACGGAGTGTGTAAATTGGATGGCTGAGATGTGTTCTCACTTCTCACATTAAGGCTTGTTCTCATTTGAACCAAAATCTATATATATATATATATGCTATCGTGGCTACAGAACAATGAAGATAATGCCACGATTGCAACCGGCCATTGTAATAACAAGAATGAGAACCTCCCTGCTTTTGAGAAAATATATATATATATATCAAATGTGTATATATATATATATATATATATATATATATATATATATATATATAGTTTGGTTCAAATAACAACACCATCTAATGAAAAAAATAAGAATGAATCCTGGCCATTAGATGAAGTGTTTTTTTTTAAAACTCACGTGTGATAAGTAGGTCAAAAAAGTCATTGCATATTTCCTTCCCTTTTATACGGTAGCTACTTTCCTTACATGTTTATTTCCATATTTTTAATCAATCAAACATACGTTAATTCCTTTCGTCTTCATAACATACCTTCTACGTTGAGCGCCTCTTCTTCTCCAATAACTGTGAACCTCCATCAATGGATAAAGGTATGTTTTTTTACTCTTGTTTTTTTCCACGATTCTTTTTGTGCTTAACTTGATGTCATGTAGAAGCTTCGTTTGCTCCACCCTTACCTTTTTCGTTTTTTTTCATTCTTTTCGTGAATTCATGTTGTTGTCATGTAGAAGCTTTGTGCTGCATTATTTTTTAGACTGTTGTTTCGTTTGCTCCAAGTATAAGAATAAACTGCACACCATATAAAGCACAACCACCAATGATTTTCTGCCACGATTTTCTGCCACGATTTTTTTTTAGTTTTGTTTTGTTTGATTTACGTATTTTTGGCGGGTTTCGTTTGTTGTTCTGCTTTCTTGATTAAGTTACGGTGATTGTGTTTGTTCATGTTGATGTCATGTAGAATCTTTACAAATATCTCCTGGATCAACGAAATATTGGATCCCGGAATGTGATGAAACATTGAAACCCAAGGTTGGCATGGTATTCAAAACCCTTCAGGATGGTGTTGAGTTTTATAGGCAGTATGCGGGTGCTTGTGGCTTCGACTCTCGCATTGGTTCTCAAACTAAGGACCGCCGGCCTAGGACGAACACCGTTGTGTGGAAACGTGTTGTGTGCAATAGAGCCGGTTTCAAAAATGCTGCTAAACCAAATGCGGTAGAAGCCAGTCATGTTCCCGTGTTTAGCGCTGTTAGTAAAGAACAGCCAGAATGCTTACATAATGACGCAGAGGGTCACATTTTTCCAGAGGAAGGAGAACCCTCCAATGCTATTCCGGACAACATGAAAAAAAAAACAGAGGCGTCGTCGTGTATCAAACCGGGTTGGCTGTGAAGCACACATAAGATTAAGGCTCAATGGTCTTAATGGATTTGTTATAACGTTTTTTGAAGAGCGACACAATCATCCCATGTCATCTCTTGATGCAAGACCATTTCTTAAAGTCAATAGGAAGTTGGATCTTGGTCATCAGAAGTTTCTTCTCAATTGTGCAAAGGCTAATATTGGAACTATGAAATCATACCGGTTGTACAAGGAAACTGTTGGAGGTTATTGCAATATTGGTGCAACGGCTGTTGATTTCAAGAACTTTAAGCGAGATTTGAAGGCATATATTTCAGGTGTGGATGCACAAATGCTAATTGATAAGCTTTTTCGGAAACAAGAAACTTGTCCAGCTTATATTTTTGAGTATGACGTTGATGAAAATGATCAATTGACACGGCTATTCTGGGCTGACCCAATCTGCATAAAGAATTATGCCTTTTTTGGAGATGTAATTTCATTTGATGCGACATATGGGACTAACAGGTTTTGCACTCGTAGATATTAATTATCGCCAATTTCAAGCATCGTGTTTATTGATTCATATGTATCTGTGTGCACACCCGTATAATGTTATCTGCACACGTAATTCACATTTTTTATTTTATTGATATGTACATGTGCACACACTCGTATAATTTTATCTCCACAAGTAATTCATTGGTTTAATATTACTGTGCACAACATCTCTTGTAATTTGTAACTTGCCCCATCACCTTAACACACTTCTTTTTGCAGATACAACATGGTTTTTGCGCCTTTCACCGGTGTCGACAATCACAAAAAATGTGTGACATTTGGGGCAGGTCTTCTATTTAAAGAAGATGTTGAATCATATGTCTGGTTGTTCCGCTGTTTTATAAATGCAATGGGACATGCACCTAAGTGTATTGTTACTGATCAAGACCCGTCTATGAGGATTGCAATTGAAAAAGTTCTTCCCAATACTCGCCACCGTTACTGCATGTGGCATATAATGTCTAAACTCACTGAGAAGGTTGGTCCTCTTCTTAGCAGCAATGAAGAATTTTTGTCCAAGATTAATTCAGTAGTTTGGAGTCACTATCTTTCACCCGAAGATTTTGAAAAGGAACGGATGCAAGTCATTGTGGAATATGATTTAGTGAGCCACACATGGTTATCTCATATGTTTTCCATTCGACGTTATTGGATCCCGGGTTTTTTTAGGGATTTATTCATGGCTGGTTTACTTAGGACCACATCGCGATCCGAAAGTGAAAATAATTTTTTTGGTGAGTTTACTAACCCGGGTTTCAGCCTTGTTGAGTTTTTCATGCAGTTTGAGAGTGCAATGGATTCCCAACGACACAACAATTCAAAACTGAATCACATTTCTGACTCTTGCACACCTGTTCACAGCACACCGCTACCCATCGAGAAGCATGCTTCATCTGTCTATACTCTCTCCATTTTTTATGAAATTCAGAAGGAGATATGTGCTGCATGTTTCGCATGTCCCGTTGTAAGCGTTCAAGAAGTCAATGGTGAGCGTCAATACGTTATCAATGATGAGCGCGGTATGGTTTTCAATGTTGTGCATTCTTTAATCGCATCTACAACTACATGCAGTTGCAAAGACTTTGATAGAGTTGGGTTGGTTTGTAGACACATGTTTGTTGTGTTTAAAGACCTTAAATTGCACACCATTCCGGCTGACTTCGTTCTAAGTCGTTGGTGTAAAAACAATCTGATTAAACCCATTTTTGACATTGGAGATAGCGTTTTTGACCAATGTGTAGCTAATGAGGAGAGAAAGTTACAAGTCAATCGATTATGGTCTGACATTCATTGTTGCGTTGCTATCATTGAGGATAATCCGGTTCTGTTTGATCAGTTTTCACAAGCGATTAAGGAGCAAAAGAACTTTCTGCTCTCATCACAGCAAGGTAGTGCACACTTGACCACCAAAGCTTCCGTAATTGAGCGATTTTGTGGATCAGCAGCTCCGGCAGATGTCACCGTACTTCCGCCACAACAAGCTAGGAACAAGGGGTGTGGCAAGCGCTTGAAAGGCGGTAAAGAAGTGGCAATACAATCAAAGAAGAAGTTAAGGCTGTGTAGAACTTGTAACGAGATGTGTAACCACGATAGCCGTAACTGTCCCATGAATAAGTCTGCTTGAAATGCGTTTCTTAACTGTTTTTTATTCCTTTGTAAAACTCCATCGAAGTACTTTATTTGCTATGGGTTCTTTGGTTTTCTGTTATATTGTTTGGTTGGTTTGACATTTCATAATGTTATACATGTGTTTTTTTCTTTGATTATGTTAGTCATCGAGAAGTTATTTACTTTATGACATTTCATAAAGTATTTTGTTAATTATACTAACCCCTTCTTTTGCACATACATATGTAAGTGCATGCAACAATATTTAATAATTTTGTGCTCATTAATATGTACACTTACTTTAACACAATGTCAGCAATTTCTTGCACATTTTTCTGTTCATGAACGCACACTTATAAGTAATTACGGGTATTACTATTTTGTAAAGTATCCTAACCCATTTCTTATGCACATACATGTGTAATTGTATGCACAAATTAATACACAAAAGTGCTTAATTCATACAAATACCTTTACGTTATACTAACACAGGGTATAACAATGTTTTAATAATGGTCCTCACACCTTCTAAAATACTCCAAAACGTTGCCAAAATTGAACCGAAATACCGAATATACATGTTTTAAATTGCTCTCCAATATTAACTACTATTTCCCATTTTATATGTTTCATTTAACTTTGCACCTCACACGATCAACACACCACTTAGTGGCATAAAAAAATTCAATAATATATCAAACTCATCCAACATTCCAACCCATGCAAAAAAACATGTCTAAAAATGTTTGAATATTCAAATAAAACATCAAAACCAAAACCCAATTCTACGAAATTTAGAAATAGCTCAAACAAATTTAGTAATGTTTCACAAACACATCACTTCACTTCTTTGCTTTTCCTTTGTTTTGCTTCTTCACTTCTGCATACTTTTCAACCTCTTTCTCATTTTTGTTCTTCATCTCATTAGAGTCCCATGAAATTATCGCGGCACAATACTTAACCCTTAGTGCATAAATGTGCTTCTTTTCTCCCTTTTTTATTTCAATGTCCCACCCTTTACTGCCCTGGCCCATATATGTCTCCATCACTCTCATGGTGATCACGCCATATTCAAACTCATTATTTTCGTGCCGCCATTTCATCGCAACTTTCTTCACTTTTGCAGTTTTCAGCCCCTTCACCTTGTTACCGAATCCAACCACAGTCATGTATTGGACAAACAAATCTCTCTGTATAGGATTTGAATAACAGAAATTCATTAGTTTCAGCATCTGTTAATGCACACACACCATTTATAATATTTATTTATACAGTAAATTCACCTTACCATAATGTTCGGCATCTCGCCGTACTTTTGAGCAACATTCAGTGTTGACTTTGACGCATCTAGAATCTCCATCTGCTGATTCATCACATTGAAACATATAACATAGCAATGCCGTGGTTGCATTATAGGGAAGAAAAACTGCACAAAAAATTTATATAAACATATTATTTCTTCTGACAAACATGCATGACGACATCACATGACAATATATCATCATACACGCATACCAACTCCACATTTTCTAGGTCTATGTCGGCCGGCAATCCTGCCAAACCGAACTCCATAGCATCATACAATAGGGAAAGTCTTTCTGCCTCAGGCGTTTCTTCACCCACCCAGCTATGCAACTGCACACGAGAATCACATCTTTCAAAACACCCGAAATCATATCTTTCAAATGCACATTAAATTTTTCTTTATACAATCACATACGCATTCATATGCCCTGGCGAACATTCTACATGGAGAATCAGTGCTCCTCAATGACTCCCTACCATTAAGCATTACGGACCACACATCCAAAACATATGCACTTATATGTTTGTTTTCACCCAATGATAACATATCTTCCCTTGCAACAGCAAATTCCTCATATTGAAAAAGTATTTCATCCCTACACATAAACACAATATATTTCTTATGCATACACATTATGTGGTCCGATTTCAGTACAAGTACATTACCTTCGACACTGCTCGGTGTCTAACATCCATGCCATGATTCTTTTCACCATTGATGTGCACATTTGAAGAGCATCTATTGGTCGTCTGATGAATGGTGACTTGCACACATCAGTTACCTTTGTTTCTCGCCTTGTTCTCACAACTGCACGCTCTACTTTATCCTGCACCTGTACATTACATGTATCAAATATACCTGACCTTTTAATTTTCAAGAGTAAAAAAATATGCAAATGCACATGTAATGAATTTAGTTTGCACATCTTTTCTTTCACCACCAGAGCTAGTGCACCCTCCTCTTCCTGACTATGCACTTCCTCAGTTTTATCCTACCCCAAAATTATATTCAAACAATTAACAATCATGTATACAATTATTTTGCTCCAACGAGCTAAAAATACTTAAATTTCAAACACATGTTACCTTTTCAGTGCACACTGCATCCACTTTTGCTGCTTTATCTGTATCTAGTGATCTCCCAATTTCTTCCATTCCTTGTCTTCGCACATCGCCATCCCTCTCTTCCTGTGTCAGTCCAATAGAGAATGATGGCAATGATGGTGTATTCTTCTTGGTCATTCCTACCTTCCCTACATTTTTTTCAGCCGTTTCAAGTATGGCAAGATTCTTCGGGTCATTCCAGAAGTCATCGTCGTTCAAATCTGCACCATTTCCCTCCGGCTCTACACGCACTCCACTATTCTCCTTCTCCTGCTGTGCATTCTCCCTGTTTTGGGCTAGAGCAATTAGTTTTTCGCAGGCCTCCTTGAGTTTCATCAGACTCTCCTGCTCCATTAAGCAAGCTGGATTTTCGCTGGCCATTGCGATTATAGAAACCACATTCTTAGCTACATCGCTTGCTTTTGCTGCAAACATCTTCACATATAGCTGCACACATACATAACACTTATTAAAGAAATCTACAAAATATATTCAGCAACCAAATCTTACCTTATGATGCTCATCACCGCTTCCTGAATCTGCAATAACGCCATCCCTGTCTGTCAGCTGCAATGGTTCATCATCTACATAACCTAACCCAAAACCACCTGCTTCAATTTCAACAATCTCTCTTTCTCGCAACAACATTGCATTCCATCCGATGATGACAGGTACCTTTCTATCAATACTTCTTTGATAGAGCACCACTCTATCAACATATACCATCTACAGTTAAGGTAAATTGTGTGTTAGTACTTTTTAATCAGTCAACATATCCTTGTGTTGCAATATATGAAACAAGGGTAACCTATGAAACAATACCATTAGAAATAGTAAAGGTCCGGTGAATGCCGTTTTCTTGTTCTTCTCCCAATTTAATTTGTTTTCTATCAGGCATGACATTACGTAACGACACCAATTGAGCCCCTTAATCTGCCTCTCCTCTTCGAGATTGTTCATGATCAATGGGTGTGCATATCCATTTGACCCACTGTCAAAAATCAGAGTAACAACCAGCACTATAAAGTGTCTGACAAACCATATACCACCTTTGTCACACAAAAGCATGGCATCACATATATCAGCCGGTGTTATTTTCCTCCCATCTTTCTTAAATATAGCCCTCCACTCCTTCAGAATGATGCTCGGTTCGTGGTTTTTTTGTGGCACTATATGTTTACCTCCTATAGGCAATCCAAAGACACGTGCCACATCTTCTTCTGAAATATGCATACTGGCTCCCTCTGCAAGCCTTATAGTGCAGTTTCTTGGATTGAAATTTTCAACAACCCATGATGCCATTCTTGATGGCAACTGTGAGATCTCTAGATTTAGGAGGCCACCGAATCCAATGTCTCGAACTGCTTTCTTTTGATCTTCGTTCATCGCTTTCATTGCTTTCACAAGTAGACGTGGAGAACATCTTGTTTGAATGGCATTCACCTCTGTTTCCATCACTTTTCGTGGCACTTTCCTATCCTCTTTTGGGGATACAAAATCATCATCGCTATCTGTGCAACCATCCACATCCTTGTTCGACACTTTTTGTTTTCCATCTCTTTTTCTCTTTTTCAGATTTGCATCTTTCCGCACACACACTGCATTATCAAAACAAACAACCAAATAACGGGTTTTAGTCATTTATAGTTTCACGCAATGTAGTGATTTTATGTAAACCAAAACTCACACAATGCACAACAGAGATCATTTTTATGCCCACACATATTAACGAAAATTAACACAGTTACTTTTCACTTGAAAATACTCATACAATACTAGTCCCTTACAAACAACAAAGTGCACAAATGCTTTTAGCTAAATGCGTTTACTAGTCAATTAAAATATTACATCATATAAATCATGATCCAGATCAACCACTTTCACCATCAGTCATCAGTTTTTACACATATTTTTCATAAGATTAAGTTGGTACCCACTTCTAAGCGATACACATTCATTCATCAACATTTGCACAAATGCATCTACCAAAATGCACATCTGATTCAACTACGTCCACACAGTTAAGTATGCACACAAATGGCAACCCACAGCACATTCTTTTCCACACACACTCAATTATATTAACACATTTCTAAATGCACGAATGTTTTTTAGCTAAATGCAACTACTACTGATGTAGTTTCCAAAATTTACACAATGCAAACCACAGATCATTTTATGTAAATCGTCCTCCCAATTTTAAGCGATACACATTCATGCGTCAACATTTGAACAAATGCGTTTACCTAATTGCACATCCCTTTCACGTACATTAACACAATTACTCATTCACAAACAACGCACACCACACACATTCCCTTTCCACACTAAGTCAATTATATTAACTGAATTGTTCATGCACAAAAAAAGCAAACCCCTGCTCATTCTTTTCCACACGCCCTGAATTAATTTAACACAATTAGCCATGCACAAATGTTATCATATGATTGCACCTACTAGCTATTCAAGTATCTTCCAATTGCTTTTTGATACATCATAGAGTCCATGTTGTTCTCAAACCCACGCACTACACACTCTAGAATACAGAAATTATTTTAACTAAATGCACATTCCATTTCTGCAAAACACACCCAGAGGCGTTTCCAAGTCCCACAAATCTAATTCAACCCCCACTGGGGATTGCGGACTACGGATTGCACATTCCACATTCGATCAAATTCATTAATTTAACTTTACAATTGAATGACATGCACTTACATTCTTCTTTGGATGCACCGGTTCCTTCTTCTCCACCGCCGTCCACCACCACCTTTTCCACTCCACTCGGTCCGCTCGTGCATGCTCTCAAACCCACAGCTGTCTCGACGACGGCTTCAGGGACTGTTTTTGAAGCATTGTTGATTGACATCGCACCTTCCATCGATGCCTCGTTCGATTTCTCCCTTAAAGCATGTTCTCGTTTTCCACTCGACCTCGTCTTTCTTCTCTCCATGGTTTAATTTAGTTTGCAGATTTTGAGAAGGCACTTACCAAATGAAAAGTCTTCTATCTTTGGTAATGGCGTTAATGTTGGGATACGGAAACCAACGCCGCCTTTTTTCTGCACCCAACGTGCGTTTTAATAAATTATCAAATGACAAAAATATCCCTCACGTGACAATTTTTAAGTTGACCAAAAGCTGATATTAATTTCTTTCCTTTTAAAAAAAAATCGGTTCCCCCTATTTTCCATTCAATCTCACCATCCGATTTCACAGATCTATGGTCCAAAACCGTTCTTATTTGGCTCCCTAAGTAGTGTTTTTACTTGAATCAAACCCTATATATATATATACATATATATATATATATATAGATAAGAGATCACATACTAACCATGCTTAAAATACTAACTTACTAACTCAATAATATGCAACACATTGAACTTCAATATGCAGTACAAATAATGTAAAGATGCACACTGTGAATTTCAATATGCAATAAAAACAATATGCAAAACTTAGCTTTGAACTTTAATATGCAGTATAAATAATATGCAACACTTTGAACTTCAATATGCAGTACAAATAATGTAAAGATGCACCGTTTTTGATAGTTTGTAGGTTAGCATGTGAGGAATGGTTAGTATGTGATCTCACCCCTATATATATATATATATATATATATATATATATATATATATATATATATATCAAAAAGTTAGTTGACTGCCTTTACAACTGAATTTTATCTGAAATTTAGTATGGATAAACTAGACTTGATGAAGAACATGCTAAAAAATTTTCATAAAAAAATTTCACCGGGAAGGTCCTGAAATGCCCTCGATCGGACGGCAGTTCCCGTCAGGCCAGCTGGACAGAGAGAGAGAGAAGTACTCTTATATGAAAGAGAGAGAGAGAGAGAGAGGTTCAAATAAAAAGTACTCCTTATATGAAAAATGAAAAGTAATCTTAGCCGTTAAAATGAGTTAATGAATGGATCAGATCAATTTTAAAGTGGAAAATTCGGCGCCAATGGTGTAAATATTAGAAAATTTGGTGCCAATAGTGTAAATAATAAATGTGCATGACTACGGAGAAAAAGTGCATTTGAGTAACACAAAAGTGCAGTGCATCCCTTCCTGGAAAAAAAATAACCAGTATATAAATCGTTTGTGTTATTTTTTTAGGAGCTGAATGTGCACTCTTACAGAGTCCCGTTCCTATCAGGAGCTCCTGAAGAGAAGCCCCGTGCGGACAAGCCCATCAGAGGGTCTTCCCGGTGGAATTTTTTGATGAAATTTTTTGAGCATGTTCCTCATCAAGTCTAGTTTGTCCATACCAAATTTAAGCTCAAAATTCGATCGGGAAGGCAGTCAAATAAATCCTGGAAACATACTGCACTTTATATGTGCGCAGAATGAGCCATAGTTTTCCAGGATTTATTTGACTGCCTTCCCGATCGAATTTTGAGCTGAAATTTGGTATGGACAAACTAGACTTGATGAAGAACATGCTCAAAAAATTTCATCAAAAAATTCCACCGGGAAGACCCTATGATGGTCTTGTCCGCACGGGGCTTCTCATCAGGAACTCCTGATGTGAACTGCCCTCCACTCTTACATATGACATATGCACTTTTACTATTGTATATCACACACTTTGGTTTACAGGGCCGGCCATGGGGGCATGCAGCCTAGACAATTGTCTAGGGCCCCCAAATTCTAAGGGTCCTCCAATTTTTAATGTAAGCCTATTATATTATAATTATATATACAATAAATCATTAGAAAACTTAAAACCTTCTAACGAGTGAGGCAGCAGCCAAAGACTTGACGACACACTTCCCGACTTGGAGTCTTCGACCCTTCGATTTCTCTGCTTCGCTGCTTGGCAATCGGCAAATCTCGGCAATAGCCAATAGCCGGGCCCTTTTGCAATTCTTCCGGCACAGACCGCAGTGGCCGCTGGCCACAGACATCAGCAGTCCGCACAGGGCCTCCGGCTAAAGGTTCGTGATGGTCTTGAGGTCTTAACTCGTAAGTGTCTTTCTGACAGCTTCGAATGATCAAATCCTTCAATCATGGATAGAGTTTGATTTACGTAGTACTCGTATCTTTTACCTTGAATTGCTATTTTTTTCTAGTTAGTCAGTTAGGCAGGTTATAGGCACCAGGGGCTGTAGAGCCTAGGCTATTAAGTATTGATTGATTCTATTACTATAAACCAAATATGTGGTAATAATAATTGAATTTAGTATTTTAGTCATTAAAACTTACTGTATATTTGTATAATTTTATTTGTATTATTGAATATTGAAAGTTAGAAAAACTTTAGCTAGTTAGAAATTGTATGAAGTTGTAGACTTATGATGACGGAAAAACCAAAACATGACTTGGGGTGTACAAAGAGAAAGAACAAATTAATTAGAAAGGGCGTGATCATAAAACCGCTTGCCGGCTCTATGGATAAGATATCTATCAAAACTTTCTCCCTCAAATATTAACCTTCTCCCTCAAATATTGTTGAGACTGAGACTACAAATGTTGAGGCCAAAGTAAATGAGTGTGAGGATGTAAGTTGTCACAATAGTGACACAATTGTAGGTGATACAAATGAGTGCACATATGGGAAATGAAAATGACACTTTCAATTATGGTAATTAGAAATGGTCTGTAAAAAGCTATAAGAATAGGATATTAGTTTTAATCCATGTATTTTTTTTTATCAATTTTGGATCTTTTGCTTTCGAAGAATACCCTCTTTACGGTAATATTATATGATACATTTCATGTATAATTCACTTCTATTTCATTTTATATTCTAGTTTTTATATTGTTATATTAAATTAAATATATCAAATCAAAATGTCGATATGAACGTCTAGGGCCTCATAATTGCTCTAGACGGCCATGTTGGTTTACCGTGAGTTTTGATCTATTCTATCCATTTTTAAGTAATCAACGACTTAAATCACTTCCCACTTTTCATGGAAAGACCTCTTTGTATTAGAACTCACCTCTCTCTATATATAGATATATATATATATAGATATATTCTTAAAATAGGAAGCAAATAATCTTATTAAATGGAAATTAATCCTCTGCCTTTACAATGAGCCGAGACCCCTATATATATACACATTAGCTATCTAATTAAGTAGAGCCCTTAGCCCATAATTACAAGAAATATACAATTAGTAAGGCCCAATCTAATACCCCCCCTCAAGTTGGAGCGTGAGGATCAAACATGCCCAACTTGCGCAGTAAATGACTAAATTGTCGTTGTCCAAGCGCCTTCGTGAAGATGTCAGCTAACTGATTAGTAGTAGAAACATGTTGTGCAGTGATCATCCCTTCTTGCAGAGCGTCACGAACATAATGACAATCCACTTCAATGTGCTTGGTACGTTCATGAAATACAGGATTATGTGCAATATGAAGAGCAGAGCGACTGTCGCAGTGTAAAGGAATGGGCTTTGGATGAGCAACACCGAGGGTGTGAAGAAGACTCTTCACCCATTTTAATTCTGCTGTAATGGCCGCCATGGAACGATATTCAGCTTCAGTGGAAGACCGTGACACAGTGTGCTGTTTCTTAGTCTTCCAGGAAACTGGAGAGCCTCCAAGGAAAACTAACCATCCAGAAAGAGAACGTCTAGTAAGCGGACAGCTAGCCCAATCAGAATCACACCAACCTGATAGACTCAAAGTAGAAGATGACTTCAAAAGAATTCCCTGTCCGGGAGAGCCTTTGAGATATCTGACAACGCGTAGAGCCGCACTCCAGTGTTCTCGTCGCGGGGCCTGCATAAACTGAGATAAAATATGTACAGAGTAAGCCAGATCCGGCCGAGTAAAAGACAAGTAGATTAGACGACCAACAAGACGTCGATAAGATTCCGGATCAGCCAATAGTTCACCCGTAGCAAGGCCCAAAGAATGATTTTGTTCCATGGGAAAAGAAGAGGGCTTAGCTCCAAGAAGACCTGCCTCAGATATAATATCCAATATATATTTGCGTTGACAAAGGAAGATGCCATCAGCACTTCGTGCAACTTCAATACCAAGAAAGTATTTAAGAACCCCAAGATCTTTCATGTGAAAACATGAGTGCAAGTAAGTTTTAAAACAAGACAAGGCCGTGGAATTATTGCCCGCAATAATCAGATCATCCACGTATATAAGCACATGTAACTGCACGTCATCCTTGCGCAAAGTGAATAAGGAATAGTCAGAATAGGATTGTAGAAAACCATACTGTTTAAGTGCTGTGGCCAGTTTTGCAAACCAACACCGCGGAGCCTGGCGGAGACCATATAGTGACTTGCGCAGACGACATACCAGCCCAGGCCGAGGTGAAGAGAAACCTGGTGGAGGGCACATGTAAACCTCCTCAGTCAGATCACCATGGAGAAAGGCATTATGGACATCCATTTGATGCAACTCCCAGTTGCGAGCAGCGGCAACAGCCAAAAGTAATCGTACGGTCACCATTTTGGCCACGGGAGCAAATGTTTCAGTATAATCGATGCCTGCCTCCTGATGATTCCCGAAGACAACCAACCGTGCCTTGAGACGCTCAATGGTGCCATCAGATTTATATTTAATTTTGTAGACCCATTTACATCCTAGGGCCTTTTTGTCATGGGGAAGTGGCACCATGTCCCACGTATGATTATTTTCAAGAGCGTGTATTTCATCTTGCATGGCGGAACGCCATCCACTATCAGTCATAGCTTCCTTGAAGGAACGGGGTTCATGTCCTGCAAGAATAGCTCCAAGAAACATGCGGTGACGTATAGAATACTTATCACAAGAAACGTAATGGCTAAGAGGATACCGCGTACCTGAGGTTCTGTCGGAGAGGGAGGACGGAGATGGGCTTAAATGAGCAACATAATCTCGAAGTAACACTGATGGTCGCTTAGACCGCATGCCGCGGCCAAGGGGAATGCTGGCAGACGTTACTTCGGCCGAGCTAGAGGCCGTATCATGAGGTGTGTCAACGACAGAAGTTTCTGGAGCAACATCATCCGAATAAAAAACAATAGGTGCAGTAGGTTCCGTAGCTGAAGAAGCGCCGTTAACAACCTTTGAGAAAGGAAAAATATCTTCATGAAATTGTACATCACGTGAAACAAAAATATCCCCTGTATCACGGTCATACATTTTCCACCCTTTCTTGCCGGTAGGGTATCCAATAAAAACACATTTGCGGCTACGAGAAGAAAATTTATCACCACTTGTATTTGCATTGCGAGCAAAAGCTAAACACCCAAAAACCCGGAGCTGATGAAAATCGGGTGCTTTGCCAGTAAGCACCTCATAGGGGGTTTTGCCTTGTAGAATACCCGAGGGTGTACGATTAATGAGATGCACCGCTGTGAGCACACACTCACCCCATAATAAAATCGGAATGTTTGCCTGAAACATTAATGCACGAGCCACGTTTAAAATATGACGATGCTTTCGCTCTACCCGCCCATTTTGTTGAGGAGTATGAACGCAAGACGTCTGAAACAAAATTCCACGTTCCTCAAAATATGGCAGCAGACATTTGAATTCTGTGCCATTATCACTACGCACAATTTTAACTGAAACTTCAAATTGTTTTTCTACTGTGGCAATGTAAGAAAGGAAAAACCGATAAACTTCCTTCTTGTCACGCAGTAAATACACCCACACAGCCCGAGAGTAATCATCAACCAATGTCATAAAATAAACAGCATCACAAGTAGAGGGGGTTTTATAGGGACCCCACAAATCACAATGAATAAGCTCCAAAATTCTACTTGCTTTATTACTACTGATAGGAAAAGAATCACGCACTTGCTTGGCTTGCGGACACACCTCACAAGGTTTATTCAAACGTTTGGTAGAAGAATTATTATAAATAGTAGGCAATAATTTAATAACACGATCAGACGGGTGCCCCAAACGCCGATGCCACAGTTCGAACGCAGGTAAATCTGACGTGTGGACAACATGCAACACAGGTACTCTGCAGAAATAATAAAGCCCATCCCGTCTCTCACCGGCTCCAATCAGGTTCCTCGAGGGACGGTCCTGTATAGCACAAAACGAATCAGTGAAAGTAACTAAACAGGCTGACTGATCAATCAATTGTGATACCGAGATTAAATGACATTTTAATCCGGGCACATAAAGTACATGTTCTAGAATAAATTGTTCCGAAAAATAAACACGGCCCTCCAAGATTGCCGCAACTGTTCTCCCGTCTGGCAATCCCACCAGACGTGTACAAATACGAGTTCTATCAGTCAGACAGGTAATATCACCTGTGACGTGATGAGAGGCCCCTGTGTCAATAATCCAATCAAACTTACCTGCCATACGATCGGATGAGCGAGTTTCAGCATTAATTAAACTCAGCAAAGCTTGAACCTGTTCCTTGCTCAATGAGGGCAGTCCGGTCGCCTCAGCCGTAGAGGATGAACCTTCACCAGTCGTGATAACGGCGTGCGTCTTGACCCCCCCTCCACGGCCAGCAGCTCCATTATTTGTTCGGTTCCGATCCTCCCACCATTCTGGGTACCCCAACAACTTGAAACAAGACCCGACATCGTGTCCTTTCTTTTTGCAGTGAGTACACATCAGTTTAGTTCGGTCCAGCTTCTCTTGTTTCCCTTTGGCGTGCCTATCTACTTGAAGTGCAAAAGCCTGGGTATCAATTTCACCGGCCCTTCCGCGAGCCACTGCCCGCGAGTTTTCTTCTTGGATGAAGGCTTGATAAGCCCTGTTCAAGTCTGGCAACGGAGTATGTGAGAGCAGATTGGACCGTACCGTCCCGTATACTTCGTCATCAATTCCGATTAAGAATTGATGCAGTTTTTCTTCATCTCTATCGGCTGCAAACTTTGCAGCAAGCCCGCAGGTACAGTGGCCACAAGTGCACACGTGCAATGGCTTCAACCGGTTCAGTTCGTCAAAATAACTCATCAATGTCGTGTAGTATCCGTCCACTGTCATTCCCTTTGTCTGCCGGCAGTTTGTGATGAAGGACCGAAGCTGCTGCAGCCTCGGACCATTGGCAACGCTGAACCGGTTTTCCAAGTATAACCACAACGCGCGTGCTTCATCGTGGAACGGGATGGAAGCTGCTAACGCCGGGTCCATACATCGCAGCAACCACGAGACGACCATAGAGTTCACCGTCTCCCAGTTGGATAGCTGCGCCTCATCAGTCGGCTTCTTCTGTGTTCCATCGACGAACACATATTTTCGGCGAGCCTTGAGGGCTAATGCAATCGCCCGAGACCACGCCACATAATTGTCCCCTTTAAAGACAACGTGAGTAATTTGGTTACCGGGTTGATCGCCGGAACCCAAGTAATAAACGGAGGTGGGATCACTCATGTCGAAGCTCTGCTTCTGGCTCGCTGGTGCCTTCCGCGGAGATTGCCGATGAGCGACGCAGACCTACCAGGGCTCTGATACCATCTTAAAATAGGAAGCAAATAATCTTATTAAATGGAAATTAATCCTCTGCCTTTACAATGAGCCGAGACCCCTATATATATACACATTAGCTATCTAATTAAGTAGAGCCCTTAGCCCATAATTACAAGAAATATACAATTAGTAAGGCCCAATCTAATATATATACTCGTATTAAATATAAAATTGTACATTGTAAATATGTACGAAGTATTCAAGATAAGTATTTTATGCATTAATAATGAATATGAGGCCAAAAAGTTACTGTAGTCGAGTGGAGGTTGCATTCCATGCATCTAATGGGTTAGTTGACAGCAGGACCAGTATTCGATTGCACCTTGGTGAAGTATAATTTATTTTTTTGTTTTGCTTTTGTCTTTTTTAATCTATAAATTAATTTAAAATGACTTTACTTCAAATTTTGGCTTGTTTGAACTACTTCAATATAATTACAATTTAATTTTGCGCATATAATATGTGAAGTTTAATAGTTACATCTTACGTTTAATATATATATTTATTTTGAATATACTTGTAAATTCGCAACTTAAGTTAATTCTAAAAACATACGATAGTATTTGATTCATTCCTTATTTGATTCTTATTGTTAACCTAAAGTTGAAAAAATTACAAACTATGTGATAAAAATTTATTTTTAGTAAAGTAAAATTTTGATTGCCATGAAATTTTAAATCAAGATATTGTAATATTTTGTCCCACGAATATTTGTTATTTATAATTGAATGTATACTATTTTCCTTAATGTGATCATTGTTTATGAGATGTGTGAGATAATTAATGTGAGTTTACCCATTGAAGAAATTTCTGAATATGCCACTGACCACTACTGTTATATTCATCCTCACACTCAGCTCTATTTTGTTGAGCATAGTTCACTGTGAATTCATATCAGAAAGGTTGACTACTTGAAGTGCTTGAAGTGATATAATGCAATGCTAATCCTTGCATTCAGCATAAGAAAGAGTTGGCGTAGATGGAAAGAAAAAAACAAAAAATTAACAGGGGGTCTCTTTTGGTTTAGGAAAAAGTAAAGAATAAACTCTTCTTTTCTAATCCAAGCAAAGGATTCTCCTCTTTAACGATCACGGTGGATAGGAATGGAGTGCGATTGTGATATTCGTTTTTGTAAATCATGAATAATGGCTGCTTTATAAACAACACTTACATATAACATACTCCATATCTGGAATCATTTCTCTCTGACAATTGTGCATTAAGAATGGGACCTGACAATGTGGAGTATCGAGAGTTAACCCTTGTTGATTCCCACTGCACAGAAAATACATCCGAAATTTTGATCACGCTCTCTTTTCCTTCCAATGTGCAAAATAAGATTGGTAATTTCTCTTTTAAAAGGAATAAAACATACGTAGTATGTTTTGTACATACTTATTTTCATTCTACATTATGTATGTAATTAAGGCAGGCAACTCATACTTATTGATAATGTGGTTCCTCATTTAACTCTCTAGATATGTCCGAAGTGTGCAACCTTGAAGCAAAATTGTCAAATGGTTGTGTAACCATAATAGGAGTCGATAAAACCAACGGTACCTTCTTTGCAAAAGCTTTCAAGGTATCACGAAACTTCAAAAGTCGCGGCTATACAGTTGGAACGCAAATAGGAAACAAGATTCTTATAACCATATACAAAATACCTGTAGAAGCAAAAGAGGACGAGCAAAGGAAAGGCCACACATACAATCCAACCCGAATAACGCCATCGGCTGAAAACAAAAAACCAAGCCGGGACATAAGCAGGGAGGTTCTCATTCTTGTTATTACAATGGTTGCAATCGTGGCATTATCTTCAATTCTTCATTGTTCTTTAGCCGTGTGAATCAGCCTATCGTTTAAGTTGCACACTCTTTTCCTCGGCCATAATATATATCACGTACCCAATCACATATATGCATTTAGTTGTACGTGGCCGAGTAAGACCGTTCAATCACTATACGATCGTGTGTAAATTGTAATCTACTGTCTTATTTACTCTCTTGTCAATAAATGTATAAATAAATAAAACAAATTTCAGAAATGGTACGTGGTTGTTCTCAAAACTTTTCTTTCTACATCTAATATAACAAATTCTCCGTATGAGTAAAACACACTATTGGAATCACCTGGTGCTAAGAAAAAAACTTTAAGTTATATACTAGTAATAAAATTGGGAAAATATTCATAAGGTGGAAATTCGTGGCACATGAGGCTTAGAGTGTACTTCTGTTTCCTTTATCTTCCTTTCAATTAATATACGTAGTAGTTTTTTTTGGTTACTACGTAATGATTCTACTTCGCTGAACTAAGCCTGAACTCCGAAGAAACCAACATAAATCCTTAGAGAAGTATATTTGAGTTCCTACTCTCATATTTGAGTTTTTTTAGATGATCTATACACCACCGCCGATAAAAAATCGCTTTTAACTTATTGATTGGCGTGTCCTAAACTTTTTAATCTATTATTTAAACAGATCCGACTCAAATAACAATAAAATAACTGGTCTTGAATTGGTATACACGCTCAAATGGTAAGTGTACACAAAACTACTTTTTTGCATTTTTTAAGTGTTCACGGTCAAAATAGGGGTCGTGTACCGGTGTACGCCAAACATGTAAAAATGATGTGTACAATTGTACAAATGGAAATATCCACCATAAAATAAGCATACTATCATAAAAGAACAGATTTAAATCAATCAGATTAAAGTATTAAACTAGACTTTATAATACGAAAATGCTAAGTGTACATATAGTGTACACATATTGTACATACTATATAAATGGTTTTAGTTTTTACCATTCCAATTTTAATTTTTTTACCCTTTTCTTCTCCCCCTTTCTCTCGTTCCCCTCTCTCTTCTCTGTATCATTTTTCGTTTCTCCTCTCGTTCTTCTTTCCCGTTTTCCTTTCTTTCTTCTTCATTTCTTCATTGTTGTCCTTCTCCCATTTAACAATCAAAAGTCATTTAATTTGTCTGTGTGGTTTCTCGTGAATGAATCGGGAGCGCTGTAGACCTGGAAGCCATCTCTGCCTGGACTCATCGCAATGACCTCGAAGTTACAGAGCCGACCACCGCGAGCGAGTCCGACATAGAGGATCGATTCCCCACTTGGTTAATTGCCGCCGATGGTATTCATTTCTCCTCCATCTTCCTTCAATTCAACCTCCTTAACCCTAACTCATTAGACAATAATTTCCCCCTTTTTCATTATTGTGGTTTAGGGATTTAACTATGATTTTTTGTTCTTTTACGGGTAAAATGTTGATTTTTTGTTCTTTTAAATTTTGTGCTTGATTGATATCTAATGTTATCTGCTTACAACTTTTGTTTTACTATATTATTTGAGAATATTATTCTTTTTGTTCATAATGTGTTTGATACGCTGTTGTGATGAAATGGTGTGTATCGAATTTTCTCTCTATTGATTAATCAGGATTAAGTAATCGAATTATGTTATTTATTTTCTGTTAAATATGAAGATGTTTATACTTTTTGCACCATATATGAAAGGAAATTGCATATTTATTTATATGCTTGAGTTAAGAGTAGCTTTTTAATGATTATATGCTTCTTCTTTAGGAGTTTTGGTCGTCTTTAAAGGAACACATGTGTGGGTATTAAATGAAAGGAGTTTTGGTTCTCTTGAAATTACTATGGGACTTCAAGATGTAGCACTACAACGATATGTTCAACATTCGCTTGGTGGAAATATTAAATTGCGGTCCGGTGCTAAATCTTATCGCTATAGATTAATTCATCACCTTGGCATGATTAAATTAATGAATTGTATTAATGGCTATATTCGTAAATCTGCACGACTAGCACAACTGCATCGTGTCTGTCAAAAGCATGAGATTCCTGTAATTGTGCCCATCACATTAGATGCTCAATCAAATTGATTTGGAGGATTTTTTTTATGCTAATGGTAGGATTGATATCACTATGGGGAATGAATTGCCCCAACTCAGTGTTCGAGTAACTAACAAACTGCTACAAGCCTTACAAGGCCATGTTTGGTGGAGATGTATACTTTGACAGTGGTCGAAATGGTTTCTATGAATGGTTTGTGCAGAGTCCTGAAGACGTTTTATCATTTGTTGGTTACTTTAAAACAAGTACATTGAGAAGTCAGAAATCAAGACGATTCTTTCTAACAGATGAATATTATCATCTTTATGGTCTCAAAGCATTTGAACCTTCCAGTATGAACCATAGAGCATGGTTAGCTTTCTTAAAGAAATGGAACAACTTGGTAGCGTAGCTCATCTTTGTTTCTATTAATCCATTTAATGTATTGCTTGGTATTGCTTTGGAGCCATTTTTTGGCAGCGAGGTAGAGTTACTGCAAAAATAGATTGGAGAATGTGATTACTAATATATGCTTCTTTGTTAACCAATCTGTGCTTTCTTTAAAGTGGCGTGTATTGTATATAATCTTGAATCTTAAATTTTACCAGAGGAAGCTCAAAATTAAAGTATTTGTTTGATGTTAGTAATCTTATGAGCTTGCTTAATGCTCACTGGCTTTTCTTCTTAGCTTTTAAAGTACCTTGGTTGATCCAGTAAGATTTTTTGTAGCCAGTAAAACTTGCATAAAAGGCAGTTTGTTCATTCTTTAAACAATTTCTTCTTAGCAGTGGTTAAGCCTTTATGATATTATCGTGTATGCATTCAGGTTAATTTAGACGTTCTGGTCCGGTGCTACTCATTTGTGTAGGTTTACTTGTATTAAATTACAAGTAGAGTTTAACTATTGAAAAATAGAGCATTCCATTTTGTTTATTCATTGAGTTAGAAATGTATTAAGCTCATTGGATTGCTTATTGATTATTTATCCTGGTGTGTAATGCAGGAGCTTAGTACCATACAAATGATGTTAGAGAGTGAAGAAGCCAATTGGATTAGAAGCTTGATCCTCTATTATGAAAGCTGGTGGAATAGGGATGAAGCAATAAAGACTATTATGATACCGACTTGTGTATTAGTTTTTTGTTAGTGTTTACTTTGTGATAGTTTTCACCTTTTCAGTTGTCTTTTCGCTAGACAAAATTTAAAGTATGGCAAATGTACACACTTAATGTTGTTTTCATAGTGTTGGTTTTTCATAGTATGACATATCTTCTGCAAAACTACTTAGTTTAAGGCATTTTCTTAAGCACTTGCTTTTATGAGAACTGAGACTGTAAATAGTGTAAATCAATTTAAGAAATAGATCAACATCAAAATCTTGATGACATGCCCTCATTCAGAAAATCATAATACCAAAATTTATGTTCTCTATTGTGGGACAAACTAAATGTCGTTTTCAAAAATCTTTTCATGAGAATCACTAGCCTATCTAATGTGCATCTAATATTCCACATGCAATAATGTGCTAATGAAGTTGTTTGTGAACCAGACATGATGTGTTCGGCCACAGGCAATAGCCACTGGAACGGTCAAATGCGTTAATTAGTTTACTCAGACAATTCCAATGACTATTGCCTGTGGCCGGACATTTCATGTCTGGTTCACAGACAATTCCACTTAACACATTAACTCATTTCAGTGGCTATTTTTTGTGGTCAGACATTCTAATAGTACATTTGTCCATTCCAATGGCTATTGCCTGTGGCCGGAAATTTCATGCCCGGTTCACAGACAATTCTACCGAGCAAATTAGTCTATTTGGATGGCTATTGTATGTAGCCAGACACTTCATATCAGGTTCACAGACACTTTCACTTAGGACATTAGTCTGTTCAAGTGGCCATTGTCTGTAATCAGACAGTTCATGTCTGACTCACAGACAATTTGACTAAATAGATTAGTCCATTAGCCTATTTCAATGGCAAATAGAATAAAGCATCTGGTATATGTTGCTAATGTACATTAGTGTTTAATGAGTCACACACTCTCTTTTTTCAGTTTGTTGTTTTACTATGATATACTACGTAGTAATTTTTGATTGAATATTCTTTGATGGTTATGAGTTTGGTAGATGTTTTTTATATTGGGCTATATTTATGTCTATTTTTTTTAGATTTTATGTTTGTTACTATGGTGTTCAATGTTTGACTATTTGGCTTCATTGTATTTAGACAGCGGTGTAACTCATAATACAATGAATAGTCAAACAACATATAATCAAACACAATGAAATAGGCTAATGGACTAATGTGTTTAGTGGAATTGTCTGTGAGTTAGCCATGAACCGTCTGGTTACAGACAATGGCCACTCTAACAAACTAATGTCCTAAGTGAAAGTGTCTGTGAACATGATATGAAGTGTCTGGCCACAGACAATACCCACCGAAATAGACTAATGTGCTAAGTAGAATTGTCTGTGAACCAGGCGTGAAATGTCCGGCCACAGGCAATAGCCATTGGAATGGACAAATGTACTTTTGAAATTGTCTGTAAACGCGGCATAAAATGTCTGGTTACAAACAATAGCCACTGAAATAAGTTAATCTGCAAGATAATTAATTTCATAAAAGCCTATTGTCCATAGACAAAATAGAGAATTTAGTATGAAAAAAGTTATTTAGGTAACACAACTATTGTCCATAGGTAACCATTGCAAGTTTCTTGTTAACACAAATCATTTTTATTTGGGCATATTAACATAACTTGTGTATGAGAAAATTCGAAGTGAAACTCCCAACTGAGACCATGTATTGTCTTTTAACTATTTTGCAAAGTAATTTACACATTCACGATTTACATCCATTTTCTATTAAACTAGTAATTATAATGAATACAAATTAACTATAGCAATGTATCATAATGAGAGTAAGACTACTAATTTTGCTTTTCCACTAACTTACAACATAATTATAAACATAAATCTTTTGTGGTCCTCTGGTTTCATGCTCTCATTCTTCACTTTCACATTCTTTAATGTTGTCATGATTTGTTTTATATCATGCTTTGTCCAAATATATGAGGAAAGAGAGTCATCTTGAATGAGGGGACTCAAAGCAGGTTTAACTATGAAGGGACTCTCATATTAGTGAGTGCCTGATGCTCATTCCTGAAGACTTGAGGCTCTCCCCTATTTTGAAACCACCATATGTTAGACCAATGAGCCATCTCAATCATCAACTTGCCTTCTATTTTGCCCCGCAAAGTCCTGTGGTGATCCAAGTAAATTCAAAGAAAATCAAATTAAATAATCAAATTAACTAATTCATTGAAAATTGAGTAATAAACATCACTAATCCATAATAATGAAGCCAAATAGTCAAACATTGAAAACCATAGTAACATACATAAAATCTGAAAAAATAGAAACAAATATAGACCTAAAAGAAAAAACATCCACCAAACTCATAATTATCAAAGAATAGTCAATCAAAAATTACTATGTAATGTATCATAGTAAAACAGAAAAATCATAAAAATGGAGTCTAAAACTCATTAAACGCTAATATACATTAGCAAAAATGAGAACAAAACATGAATTTTTACAAAAAGTTCATTGAGTCATTTTAACAAACATGTTATGGGTATAAATGAACTAGAGTAACTACCCTAATATTACAATATTTAACACTCCATATCTCTTACAATAAAATTTATTAATCAATTATTCAAGGTTATAACATACCCGATATACATAAAATTGGAACAAATACATAAAAAACGCAAAGCAAACAAAAAAATTGGAAAAAAGATATTACCTCATGGTTTGAAAAGAATCATCAACTATGGAGACAAATGAATCGTGTATGACAAGTAAATGGGGAGGAGAAGGATTGAAATGGTTTATAATTTAGAGAGCTTGAAAATGAAGAAAGAAAAAGAGAAAGAAATGAGAAAGAAGGGAACCATGGTCACAGAGAAGAAAACGAGAGAGAGAGAAGGGTGGGAGTGAATCGAGTGATAGGAGAAAGAAGAATGGGTAAAAAGAAAAAGTGAATGGTTAAAAGGATAAAAAGGTATATATACTGTGTACACTTTGTGTACACATTCTGTACCCCAAGCATAATTGCTTTATAATAACATCAATATTTTGACTGTCAATTTCCGTGGCGTTTTGCACCAAGAATGTGCAGGTGCAAGTTTCAATCAAATCTAGGATATGCTCAAAGTCCAGGCAGGGCAGACTAAGCTAGTCTATAATGACAACATTGGTGAAGATAGAAATAAAAAAGTATAGTAGGATGCTTTGTTTCATAAATGGTCTTCACAAAAGGGCAAAAGTGTCCTTTACAAATACTTTCCCAGTCACATAAAAACATATGCTCTCTCCCAATCCTCATTACACTAACATCGCTTTAACTTGATGTCCTCTTCTTTAAAAAAAAACTTGACGCCCAAAAATTTGTAGCTTCTACACTTCACAAAAGTATAAATCCCAAAAATTTATGCAGTGTTTTATAGAAAACCAGTACATCAAATACGCTTACGTCCTTTGGTGTATTTATTTCACCAAATTACAGACGGACTTGGTCGCCATTTGATTGAGTAATAGTTTAAGGGGTTTTGACCTCAATTTTATAATATTAATTTTAAAAGAAGACTAATCATGTTATTTTTACCTTTTATATTAATAGTAATTGTCCTATATAGGACTAAAATAATAGTGAAATGCAAAAATAGGACCTCTTATGTTTTCTTCCCTTAATAGGACCAATTTGCTCCTATTCTTAAACCTACGAAAATTACCATCCCAAATCTGCCCCTGCACCCATTTAATGTTCTTTCTCTCCTATTTTATTCACAATCGATCGATAACTTCTCCAGCCTCAAAGCAAATCTGCCGATTCCACCACATCTCATCATCTCCCTTTAGATCTGTTGATTTCATCGCACGACGTCGACTACTCCACCACACGGTGCCTCCGCCGCTCCGCCGGCGTCGCTGCCCTCACCTTCGCTTTGGTGCCTTCGCCCTCCACCATCGCTCTGTTTATGTATCTCCGAATTCTCAGGTTTTTTCACTTTCTTCTTCTGGCTAGGTTTCTTCTTCTTCCTCTTTCTTTTCTTCTTCCTCTTCCTTCTCCTCCTCTTCCTCCAACTATTCGAATTTTTGGCTTTAAAGTTGATTTTTCTGAATTTTCCTTCATTCCTCTATTTTTTTTAGTTTTGACATTATTTGATTTGTTGATGTTTGGACTTCTATTTCAATTTTCCGTTTCCTGATTTCTTGATTCTTTAAAAAAATCAACTTTCTAGATTTTGAATGATGGAAGACGATTTTGCCATGTTTATGGCAGATTTTTGGATGATGGCGTATGATTTTGCCAAGTTTTTGGCAAAAATGTACTTGACAAGCATATTATGGCAAAACACTCTCTGTAAATCGATTTTTAAATTTTTTGACATTCACTTCTTATTTCTTATTGAGATGAATTATTTAAAGTTATTGTTCTATTAAATTTTTGGTTTTCCGAAAATTTTGTTGTGGACTTTATATTTTGCCAAGATTATGGCAGTTTTGTATAAATTCGTCAAGATAAATCTGCCTTCTTTATGGCAAATCTGAAAATTTGTTTTGAAGGCAGATTTGAAAGTAATCTTCAAGGCCAAATCTTCCAACTTAAAGCCATATTTTCGGCGCCGATGACGGCAGCGGCAGGTGGCACCGGTGACGGCGGTGGCAGGTGGCGGCGATGACGTTGGCAGGCGGCGGCGGTGACGGAGACTGCATGTGACATGGGTGGTTGAACTGTTACGGTTGGAGATGATGATGACCTGCAGTTGGAGACATGGACTTTTATTTTAATTAGAAATCTAAATAAAAACTTATTAGGGGCACGCATTTATGTACAAATAGGGGCTTTTAAGTCCTACGAAACATGCATATGATTTTTGGTCCTATTTGTGCAATTAACTTTGTTATTAGTCCTATTTGAGTCATTAACTCTTATATTAATACTATGCTTTTATTATTAAAATCAGATGTATTCAGTTCTAGTCTAGTTATATAGGAGGTGGCACCACCACCTATGATAGGGGCAGAGACAAGGACGGGTTGGAGGGGCTCGACTCTCGATCAAGAAAAAATTCTTAGCTAAATACATGTATAGATATTTTTAATTTATAAAAAATGTGTTGATGTTTTAAACTTTAACCTCCGCAAAATGAAAATTTCAAGTCCCGAACCCCTAACAATATATTTCTGGCTCTACCACTAACGTATGATATACACTAACCCAGTAATATCAATGGCCAAATTAGAGCTCCTGCTGATTTGCACCCCTCAACTCGATCATCCGTCCAATTAGATTACAATTAAATCTTAATTACTCATATAGTCATATACAGTAACTTGTCAACTTTAAACTTGTCAACTTTACAAATTAATAAGTCAATGCAAAATTGTGCATGAGATTTAGAGTGCGTTTGGTCAATCTATTTTTTGGCTTATCGCTTTATTAGCCAACTTTTCATCAAACATGTACTTTTGATTTCGTGCGCTGAGTCGTGTAATAATCAAAATAAGTAAGGTTGAATTTATTGAAGATGACTATTTCAACTACGAACTTTTTAATATAATTATTTCTCCAGTTCTATTCTTCCTAACACTCACTCTATTTTGTTGAGCCAGAAAGGTTGACTACTTGAAGTGAAAAAGTGCAATGATAATCCTTGCATTCAGCGTAAAGAAAGAGTTGGCGTAGATAGAAAGCAAAAACAAAAAATTAACCTGGGGGATCGAGGGGGTCTCTCTTTTGGTTTAGGAAAAAGGAAAGCATAAACTCAATTCGGGACAAAAAAAAATCCATCCCGAATAACGTCATCGGCTGAAAACCGAAAACCAATACGGGACAAAAAAAATCTCCACCAGAAAGCATACACAGATACAATGACACCACTTGTTCGAGTGAGAAAAATAAAGACACAAGCAGCGGAAGAGATGGTGTTGCAGAGAAGATCAAAGGGAGCATAAGCCCAGAGTTTCTCATTCTTGTTATTAAAATGGTTGCTATCAATAAGGTTTTAAATAGCCGTAGCGGCAGCGGTAGCGGCCTGTAACCGACTGTAGCAATTGCAGCGGCGTGAAATATTTTCAATTGCGCAAAACATATATTTAATGAGTGTTGAAGTTAATACAAACATTGTGAATATTTGTTTGAACACTTATAACATTATGTTGGGATCCCTCCTTAATTGGAGAGGTTCTAGAAAATTCTAGAGCTTTCTGGAGAAGTATAGAATTTTCTAGAAAGTTCCGGAGAATCATAGAGAAGTCTAGAACTCTCTAGAAGCTTGTGGAATAGTGTGGAATCCTCTAAAATATTCTAGAGATGTGTGGAACCTTTCGAAAGCCGATGGAAGAGTATAAAAGCATATGGAAGAGAATGGAGAGGTGTAGAGATTCCTTGGAATTCTCTAGAATAGGTAGTCATGTGTAGATCATTCTAGAGAACTACTCTCCACCACTCATTATGGAGGTGGAGTTGTATAAATAGGAGTAAGAGCCTCCATTCCAAACCATCCTAGCAAGAGTGAATCCACTTCTAGAGTGAGAAAGTTAGAGAGCCTCTTTGAGAGAGAAGAGAGATAGCTTGGGAAGACATCATTCGCAAGCTTGAGTGAGCCACCATTGAGTGAGACAATTTTGTAACATCCTTGTATACCCTACTATTCTTTTGTATAGTGGAAGAATCTCCATATTGGAGAATTTAAATCGTGTGCTCCCATTGCTACCTTATTTCCTAAGTGCCTATCTTAACTTCACGAAGCGGGAAAGTCCGGAGTGTTTTTTCCCAAGAGTTCATTTACACAACATAGACACATTTACACATCAATCCGTTCATGACGTACTGCCGGAAATGTCAATAGCGGGCGGCGTAGCGGGTTTTTCCCGTGATTTGGAATTCACAGCGGAATAGCGGGTCGTAGCAGTAGCGGCCCCTACCGCGACCGCTATATAGCGGCCGCTATAGCGGTAGCGGGCCGCTATTTAAAACCCTTGCTATTGTGGCTTTATCTTCATTGTTCTTTAGCCATGTGAATCAGCCTATTGTTTAATTTGCGCAATCTTTTCCTCGGCCATATATCACGTATCCAATGCGGGTTTTCGTACTTTCAGTAATCCCCACCCTCACATTGATGTAATTAGTTGTACGTGGCCGAGTAAGACAGTTCAATCACTACACGATAGTGTGTAAATTGTAACTACTCTTTTATTTACTCTGACCAATTAATGTTGCAAGTAAAACCAATTCCAGAAATGGTACATGGATGTTGTTCAAACTTTTCTTTCTACAGCTAATGTAAATTTTCCCAGGATGGATAACATATACTCATATGAAGAAAACTCATGGTTTCTCGAAGCCCTTGACAAGCCTGAACCTCATGTCCTTCTGAATGCATGGATCAACTACTTGTTCACACTCCGCATTTGATCTTCTAAAACGTACGTTTGATACAATGATACCACATTCCCATTCCTCTTAAATTGCGGACCCAAGACTTTTAGAGCATCTCCAATGCTACAATGTGCACGGTGCACATGTGGCATGAGAGAGATAGACACAAAAGATTAATTTTATGACATTTCTCTCTCCGTCTTTCCACGGTCCTATGTGTTTTTGGTAAGTTTTTCTCTGCAATGTCAATCACAATGTCTACATCTAGACATTGTGCTTGACATTGTAGAGAAAAACTTACCAAAAAGATATAAGATCCTTCAAATAAGGAGAGATATATTTTATTTATCGTTTTTTGATTGGTTATCCCTCATGCCACGTATGCACCATTAACGTTTTAGCATTGAAGATGCTCTTATGAAAATGAATAGGAATGAACACGAATCCGGTTGGGAGGGACGGCGTTAGACCGGCATGGGTCCGAGCTGGGCAAAGTTAGACCGGCACGTACAGATCCGAGTTGGGCGGACTCATTTTGAATTCATCGATTTAGGTGTCATTTGTTTTTATCGTTTATTAATGTGAAAATGGAAGAATTTCGATCAAAGTATGTTGTGTAAATTTGTTCAATCGAGTATTAGTTCGATCATATATGTGTAGCATTATCCATTGAGTTATTTTTATTAGTGAGAAATATGGTAGCAATTGTTTTTTGGGATTAAAATGTGTCATGTAAATTGTTTAATCAATACAATATGACATATGGTCGAAGTAGGTAGAAATTCAAGCATAACTTAATTAGTGTAGGATTCTCCATTCAAACACATTTTTATGTAAATAGAAATGCAATTTAAAGAGCGCAGCTACAACTTCCATAAGGAAAACATATTTCAAACCCTTAAAGGTGCATTTTTTTATTATAAAAATATGTCATATAAATATGTTCAATCAATGTGACACGTGGTAGAAATGAGATCATAGAACTTGGAGTAGGATTACGAAGTAGTTTAATTTTTTTACTACGATGATGGTGGTGCTCTATTTCAACAAAAATGCCCTAAATATGAGTAAAAAATAATGTTGACTTTTCAAAATAGATACTTGTATAATTTTTTTCAATTCATTATTACCATACTTGAAAAAACATGTCAATTATATTATTCATCGTGGGATGATGCCAAATTATGTCTATATGATTTCAAGATGATAATAATCTACTCATATTTAAGGAAAAAGTGGTACTCTAAGTAAGAAAAATCACATTAATTCTACCCCTATTTCAAAAAAAGTTTTTGCATTGAAATTAGTTGGTAATATACTTGGTATATTTACTTTTGTATTAAGAGACTCCACCAAAAGTCTCTTTAACACTCCACGTTCTTAATAGGCAACAGTCACAATATAAAACTATATCCACTACTTTCTATTCTTCATTACACTCACTCTATTTTCCTGAGCCTAGTTCACTCTAAATTTATGCCAGGAAGGACCTTGACTACTTGAAGTGATACTCCCTCCGTCCCCGGAAAGAAGTTCTCACTTTCCTTATTTGGATGTCCCTAATTTAAGTTCTCATTTCCTTAAATGGAAAGTTATCTACATCAAAACAGTGCCAAACAGTGCAAAACAGTGTCAAACAGTGTTGAAACAGTGTCAAAACAGTAAAATTTATCCCCTGGTAAGTTTACTTGCATAAAAGTGTGTGCAAGTCAAATGGGGAACTTCTTTCGGGGACGGAGGGAGTATAATGCAATGCTAATACTTGCATTCAACATAAAGAAAGAGTTGGCGTAGATGGAAAGGAAAAAAAACAACGGGGTAATCTGCCATGTTTGGGAAAAAATGTCATGTTAAAAGCCTTGTAATGCCAAACTTGACAGAAATTTACTCCTATTCAGGGAGTAGAAAACATGATGTTTCTATTTTGGAATTTCAAAATGTTTTTACTCCTATTTAAGGAATTCTCTCCTTTTTTAATCCAAGAAAAAGTAAAGAATAAGCTCTTCTCCTTTTTACCAATGTGGGTGGATAAGAATGGAGTGCGCTTGTAATATTCGCTTTTGTGAATCTTGAATAATGCCTGCTTATTGAATAATGCCTGCTTATATAAATAACACATGCATAATCCATATATGGAACCGTATACATCTTTCAAGTGTATATTAAAAATGGCAAGATCCGACAATATGGGGTATCAAGAGTTAATACTTGTTAATTTCCCCTACAATGATAATCCAGCCCATATTATTATCACACTCTATCTTCCTTCTAGTATGCAAAACTTGTTCATGCTTTGTAATTTCTCTTTAAAAGGAAAAAAATATGTTTGTACATACTTATTTTCATCCTACATTATCTGTGCAGGCAACTCATACTTACTGATTATGTGGTTCTTCATTAACCGTAGGTATGTTGAAAGTGGACAGACTAGACATTAGCGTGTCAAATGTTGT